AAAAACAAAAGAGTAAAAGAATGGAAAACTCATGAGCTGAGATAAAGGCAGTTTAATAGGTAAAGCAAAAGCTGCACACAGAAGCAAAGCAAAACAAGGAATTCATTCCCCACTTCCCATGGGCAGGCAGGTGTTCAGCCATCTCCAGGAGAGCAGGGCTCAGTCACATGCAACTTGGTTACTTGGGAAGACAAACACCATTGCTTCCCATGTCCCCACCTTCCCCCAGCTCTATATGCTGAGCATGATGCCATTTGGTCTGGGACATCCCTTGGGTCAGCTGGGGTCAGTTGTCCTGGCTGTGTCCCCTCCCAGCACCTTGTGTGCCCCCAGCCCGCTTGCCGGTGAGGTGGGTGAGAGGCAGAAGAGGCCTTGGCTCTGTGTAAGCACTGCTCAGCAGTAACACCACCACCCCTGTGTGATCAACACTATCTCTGTTATGAACACTGTTCCCAGCCCAAATCCAAACCATAGTCCTGTACTAGCTACTATGAAGGAAGTTAAGCCTAGCCTAGCCAAAGTCAGCACACTGGCATAGTGAAGAGAAGTCCCCATCTGTCAGACATATTTTACCTTATCCTGTGGAGACAGAGAATGCAGGTGTGAAATTGCCTGTTGTGTCACATATGCCATGTATGTCCCCTGAACACTATTTCACACTATGGCAAAGCTGGTAACTTCTTTCTTCTGAGGCTGCTTTGAAATTCATCATGTTTGGAAAAATCTCTACAGCACTTGTTTGAGGTGCATCAGTCTTATTGGTGCCTGAAAGTTACATGAAAACTCATGCTAAGTTCATCCATTGTAATTAGTAAATACGGTTAATATGCTTCTTGCTGGACATGTTAAATGGAATATAGCGCACATTAAATAGGAGTGAAGAAAAGGGTGTAGCTTATTAGTGGTGGATGATTCCAAGTATTTGACTCCAAGCCAAGCCAGGTTTTGCAAGATCTTTGGCCTTAAAGTGTTTTCTGTGGCTCCTCCTCTCGCCCTGTAAAACCAGCTCCATTTGCTAATGGTAACTTGCTGTCTAGGAGTGATGCAACCATCATCCAATAAAATGGCAAAGTTCCTTTGAACAGACCAGTAAAACTACATAGACCCTGTCTTCCATGAACTAGACTTACGGTCTGTCTTTCCTAAGTATGAATCAGTCTAAATTCATAAAAACTGGTGTTCAGTTGTTGTAAGGAGATCAGGATCAGATGGTAGGAAGGTCATTTCTCACCTCATTCTCACCATCCTATTGTCCTGCTTGCCTTCGGGTGGCCAAGGCCTTAGTCTCTCTACATAGAGACTAGTTCTGCCATTAACTTCATTGGGATCACGATCAACTTCTGCACTGCAAATAATAAAGCAATATACAACTATTGTAAGATACTTGTGTAAGTATAATTAGATCAGGGTGGGTTGCGTTCTGCTTTCCTCAGGGAGTTACGTGAAGCACCTTGATTGGAATAGGAGACAGACTTAACCTGATTGAATCATTAAATGGAAATATAAGACAATGAACATGAGCCACTTAGTTCATTTCATAAATTCTAATAATTAAAACTGCATGTGCAATAATAATGGCTATTCCAGGTATCCAAGTAAGAAAAATGCACCTTTGATATGTCGTGGCATAGGCATAATGAAAACATTGAGTTAATGGAGGATCTATGTAGTAAGAGCTACCATACAGAACCTGGAGTTGGAAATATATAAACACGCTTCCCAACAGAATTTCACTACGTCACAATTCATTAAGAAAATAGGCAATAACTGACAAGATAGGCACAAAATGGATTTTCGTGTTGCTGGGATGAAGTATGGCTCCCAGCAATTAATGGGTTTAGTCACATTAAGCAGATAAATAATGCTATCTGACATTACAGTATTTCACATTACACTAGAATTTTGTAACATTTGCTCATAATATGACTTGAAATATGTTACCTAGGAAAAAAAATGTTATCTCTGGAACAGTCAAACCCCATTAGAAACCTTAAGCTTGAAAAATCACAATGTTAACAGTCATATCCCCTAGCAAAGGTTTGCTTTCCTTAAATAGTGTTAAATTTGAACCCAGAAGCTCTAGTCTCTTTTGGAGTTACTCTTCCTTAGTGCATTGAGGTTGAAAGGAAAATTGAATGCACAGAATGTACTGTGCATTACTGAATGTTGGTAAAGGAAACACTATGAAGAGTTGCAGAAAGAAAAGGGTAGCATTTAGAGCACAATCACATCAGTGATACAAATGTTCTCTAAAAATACGTTTCTATATTCTGCTTTTCAAAAAAAGCTCCTAATCTTATGATGATCCCACTACCTATTATTAACAAACAATTTAATTATTTTGAACCTCATTTTAATTGTCACGTTTGCCTTTTTCATAGCTGGATATAGTCAGAGTACCACTCTTGTGTAAAAAAAGGTTTTACTGTAAAATACTATGGGTTTAAATTTCCAGTTCCTGCTTTCATGAGTGATTCTTCTGATTTCAGCTTTCTTGTTCATGTAAATATAGTTTAATACTGGAAAATGCCCTACGTGTTTCAAACATTAGTAAAAATTTAGAACAAATACAGGAACATGATTTCTCTCGCATGATGCTAATTCTATTCCAAATTGAGTAATGTGGAAGAAAATGTGATTACTTGTCAAAGCTCAGACGCAATTTTCTGTTGGGACAGTATATGCAGTGGATTTGGAAGTGTCATGTTTAGCTGAACGCAACACTTAGTGTCTCATCACCCAACTCCTACTGAATTTCAACAAGAGTTAGCAAACAACCTTCCCTTGGGCTTCAGTGAAAATCCTTGGCTTAGTATCCAGTCTGAGCTGCAGCTTTATTTGCAGGAAACAAGCTTTGTTTTGTTTTGTTTGGGTTTTGGTTTTTTGGGGTTTTTTTGGTTTTCTGAGGTGTTGTTTCCTGGAACAGTAGAAGATCACCTGAGTGCAGAGAGTACTGCAGTTCTGCTACTAAAATGTGAAAATGTATGAAATTTCTTTATGAAAGGAATACTTAAAACCAACCCAAGACAACAACCACCTCTCAAAATTGTTAGGATTATTGAATACAATAAACACTTCAAAATCCAGGTCGTAAACAAACCAGATAATCTTTTACTTGTGCAATTTTACTACTTCTTGCATAACACTGCATTTAGGCATTTAACTTGAGGGTACTGTAAAAGCAAAACAGTTCACTTATGACGTTTGTCCTACTGTATGTTAATGGAAGAGGTAGGGACATTTTGGAGACATTGCTGTCACTGTTATAAGAAGTGCACACCAAAGGCTTAGTAATTGTGCTAACAAGAACATGTAGTCTCTGCCAGACTATAGTACCAGATTTAATTACCTTCAATTGGAAGATGTAAAATATTTCACCACAGCTTTTATATGACCTTATAAAAATGACACTATTTATGGAGGTCACAGTTCTGCATTGTCTCATGATGACTTTTAAAAACTTGTTAAATTGCTAAAGACCAGCTGGGAGTCTCAGAGCTCTCTGGATGGTTGTGTGATCAACAGTGTGTGATGCTGTACACCAAACCTTCAAGGAACCTCTAAGTGAACACTGTTATGGAACCCTCACCTCCCAGTATTAGAGTTCAGAACAAATTATAGTGATAGCAATACCAACTATGTATATTCAACTCATTTCTAACTTTTTCTTAACGAGGTGAAGAAGAAACAGTCAGTGCTGATGTCCAGCTGCTGTTTGCAGATGACCACCCAGTGCTGCAGAAGCTGCCAATGACCCAGAGCTTGGGAACTACTTGGCTCTAAAGGCTTGGTTTGTGCTTTCACACCAACTCTCTATGCTAGTCTGTGTTAATGTTATTGCACCTTAATAGTATCAAAAAGAAGTACTTGTTTTATTGTGCTTGTTTCAAAACCAGTACATTTAAAACCAACCAAACTTATCTAAGTTGGGTATATAAAAATATACATGTAACAGCTCACATTATACAGTAAAAAAAGCAAGCACCTGTGTGGAAATCTTACCCTTTCTGTCGGAGGAAAGCTGTCTCCATGTAGCTGCTTCAGTAACATGTACTCATACGTATATAAATACAAAACCAGAAGTTTAGCCACATAAATCTGTCCTCTTATGTGGCAGAGGAGACAGAAGGCCCAGAGGGGTGATATGTCTCATTCTTTCGCCATCACAGAACTGCTGCCATTCACACTGTGTGAACAAGAGTATGGCCCGCGTAAAGTGCGAAAAGCGTGAGATAAATTATGCTCCATGTGGCATAATTCCTCCCAGGAAACAGCAAACCAACAACCCACAAACAATTGTACATTATTCTCTTGTCAGAAGGAGCAGCTGTGACTCTAAGCCCTACAACCCTCGCTGAGGAATGCCATTGGGTTGCATGTGCTGTCTCTGCACTTCGACGGGGCTTAGAGAGAAGGGCCAGTTGTACACATTGCACTTGTGAAGCTATGAACCAGAGGGCTGCTTGGATACCTTCTGCAGCACCTCTGACCCAAACCAGGAGAGAAAAACAGTGCGGGGAAAAAGGTTGTGGATCACAAGGGTCAAAGTATAGCCCTAAATTGTTACATGCTATAAAAAAAAGACGACTAAATAGCTTAGTCTGTTTAAACATTAGGTTTCTTTCTAATCCTAGCTGCATTTCACTATAGTAAAAGTGGGTATTTGAAGAAAATATTTCACTATTAAAGATCCTTGCAATTATGTTTTTAGAAGTGCCTTTTCCAGGCCAGGATCTAATATAAAGAAAAGTTACCTTTTTATTTTTTTCCAAAATTAAACTGCAATAATTAGATACTGTATTTAACCGTGTGAAAAGAGTAAAAAGCTATTTCTATACAGTTTCTGAGGTAATAAGCTGGCATGTTAAAAATACATATTAATGTAAGTAATTTGGTTTTGAGTGTGTCCTTTGCCCATCTTCCCCCAAAAGAGGGGATGGACATGGTGATTTCCGTCAAATGGAAAAAAGGTCTGTGGCATACTAGTTGGTACACTCTTATCATAGTTCATCATGGTTTCTTGTGAGGTCCTCCCCATAATTAGTAGCTTGACTTCCAACGAACATGTTCCAGTTGTCTAGAACCTCCTCTTTTGTTAGTTTTTGGTCCTGGTGGGAGGAAAATAAAAACTGTAAGAACATTTTCAAAGCTAAGTAAAAGACACACCAGCACAGACTTAACTAGAGCCCTGGGAAATACTACTTCAAAGCAGCAGACTGCAGGTTCAGGAACTGTGGTGAGTGAAATTTGGAACCCAGTGGAAGAAAGAAGTCTCCCTGGCTTCCCTTGGGTCAAACTGCTAACTGCAGTTCTTTGTTATTAACTCACCACCAAACAGTATATGGGTTTTCTGGAAGGCAGTTTTGCTCTAAGTTTTGGGTTTGCCTTCCTCACACTAAAAATGAAAATCCTCTGGTGTACTTTGCTGAAAATGGGTGCTTATATCAGCAATTTCCACACTCTCTGTGTAGAAGTGCTTTGGCTTTTCAGGTGGAGGAAGTGGATGTATTGAGCCAGTCTTTAAGTCAAAGATCTATGTTTGATTATAGAAATGGTTTGGGGGTTGGTTTTGCTACCTCCTATGTCATGTATCTTTTATTTTTCTCTTGTGGTCTAAATTAGCATAAAAACCCCATGACTATTCTTAAAAGGAAGAGTATCTTTTTACCATGTTAAAACTTCCAAATTTAAGATGATCATTTATATAACCCAATAGACTTCTAGAATTGATAAACTATTTTACTACTTTGTGATTCTAACCCTACCAACTGAAACTGGCATCGATATATTAAAGCACTAGCAATTCTAGCCTCTAAAACTGCATTTAAAGTGTATCAATCAGAAAATTTATGAATAAATTCCTGGAGGCTGGTATGTTTAAAAAAAACCCAAAAAACCAAACCAAACCCAAAACCGTAACAACTTATATAACTTTTTTTAAAGTATACTAGAATTCTAAGTACCTTGTCTACATCCGATTCATAGACCAAGTGCCTGGCTTCAGCCAGTGCATGATCATAGTCTTGTGGGAGAATCCACTGCTGAATTTCCTCTTTGTCCATCTTTCCATCCTTGTTGATGTCACGAAAATCTGCAAACTGCTCGCGCTCTGTAATCACCCAGTCAGGCTCTGGTCCACCCTCTTCATTTGCAAACATATCAGCTGGAGAGCAAATAAGGGTCTTGCTCAAGTAACATTTAATTTGCAAATTATGCACAAACTAAAGACATTTGCACAGTGTTCTTCAGAAGACTAAACTTTTCATTCTTTGCACAATGTTTCTTTGTACAGAAAATGAAATGTGGGTGTAGATAAATTAGCTGTGTTTATCTCCTCTCGGACGGATTTCTTCACTACTTTTGTCCTGCTTTTAGAAAGATCTTTGTAAGAGAAATTAATCTTAGATGAGTAGATGAGTCCTTCTTAATACATGCTGCAGCATACTCCAGTAGAAGGTATTCTACACAGAAAGACCTGGAGAAGTCACAAATCAGTGGTGCAATGTGTTGTGGATTGGTACCTTGGGATGGTGGTGTTACCATCTGCGCCACAGGATGCAGAGATTACGTGAGCTGCTCTGATCAGTCCTATGCTATATCTTGTGCTCAGTCTGTGAGGCATGCAGCTGTGGCAACAGTGAGTTCCGCGGCTGAGCGCTGGATTGAGGTGTACAGGGGATTCCTGGAGCCAGAGAAGTCAGAGGAAAAGCAGAGGGCCCCACCAGGCAGCTCTCACTAGAGAGGCTGATGCAGCGTGGGCATCGTCATGACCAGTCATGGGAGATTTCAGCTGCCCTGGGGTTACAAGCAGGGTGTGCAAACAGGGATTGAGAGGGCACCACACTTGGTGCAGAAGGGCATGTGAGAAGGGCCATGCACCCTGCTTGTGTATGCCCATAACCCAGGGAAGTGCTCTAGGTCTCTGGCATCATGGTGTTAAAAACAGTGTTCATGCAGAGAAAGCCCTCTGAGATGTCTGATGCTCCACCCAGGTGAAGAGATTTACCAAAGAACAGATTTAGTTTTCTCTTAGTTTTTAACCCCAACTTGATAATAAAGGATTACAACTGAAAAATGTAAAAAGCATTGAATTCCTCAACTCATGAAGAAAACTTCAGACAACACATTCACTTTCTTTTTTCATCTTTTAAAGTGCAAATTATATTGTTTATTTGAAGCAACTGACATGTCCTGTCAATTTGATTTTTATCATCCTTGCCAATGTGGGGTGATCGTGACTAGAACATTCTATGTTCCTAACTATAGAAGACAAGAAAAACCAGCATTCACATGGTAACAAATGTTGACAATTACCTTATAATTATATGTAGGTAATGTCACTGAATGAACTGAAATTACTGTGGAAATTATGCTGCTCTGTTATTTCAGTCATAAATGAATAGCATTCACATTCTGAGGCTAAATATAATTTACAAGGAGTAGAACTCCCTGCCATTAATTAACGTGTGTATATTGTTCCTGATTATATGGGAAATGATCTTTATAGCACCATCAGAAACAGAAAGACTCATCTGAGTTTGCACTCATGCTTTCCTTCATGAAGGTGCTACTTTCTTCATTTAAAACCCACCAAAATGAGTGCAGTGGGAGAAGGTAGCTTTTGGTATCAGCAAAACGATCCAAAAAGGCTAAAATATATTCCGTACTGCTGATATCTAGTCCTGCTTCTGTTCTGTCTTCATATCGAAGTGCAAGACAGCAGTTAATTGCCTTGTCTGCAATTAATTTGTGCAAATTAACCGTGACTTATCTGCTGTTGATGTTTCCCATTTTGTTCTCTTTCTGCCACTGAAGTAACGCAGAGTTAACTTTCACACACTTCACAACTTCTCTGAGAATCTGAAATCTTAGTGCTGGTTTTGCACAGTTCATTTTTAATGCATCTTCTATTCCTCTAAGAAACACAATGGCATCACTGCTAGAGAAGTATCGGGTTCTGCTATTACACTAGGAGAATAACTAGTAAAAAAAAAGGTGAATTTTGTGTTTTGCAATGTGTGCTTCCAAGCTATTTTGCATAGTCAGGTACCATTCAAACTGGAAAGAGACTAAGTCACTCTCTGATCCTCCTGCATTTTAAACAATGCCTACAAAATCTGTTAATGTGGTCATGGGTACAGAGAATATTCCTGTCATGAAAAATATTATATTCCTGACCCTCTTAGCAAAATTATACAATAATAAGAGGAGAATCTTATGTTGTAATGTGCAAGGAACCTTCTGCTGGTAATGTGGCTATCTCTGTAAAATAAAGTTAAACTTTCTGGGTTGGATGGTTGGTTTAAAACAGTTGAACTGGAGCGCAGAAACGTTTGTGTTAATACTGCTGTAAGTTGGAAAGAAGATGGACAAATGGACTGGATATTATATAAGAAGCAAATCTTAACACTTACCAATGTACTCATCTTGATCCACAAAACCATCCTCATTTTTGTCTATGTCTTCTAAGGTTTCCTGGAAAACAGTTTTGCATCAACATATTAAGAGAATTGAGAATTCTGGCTACTTGCCTCTTTGATCATTTAATGTTTTGAGGCCTTGACCTGCCCTTGTACACAGGCAAAGGTACTCTTTCTGACAGCAGTGTGACTTGTTTATACAATGAATATACAAATACCCTTTCATGCTGAAAAAATTTCCTACATGAATGAACTGGACACCATGTTTAAGTTTTAAGTTAAATGCAGATACAAGCATCAAACACTTAGCTGCTGCATTTCAGCAACGCATTCCTTTTATTTTGGTTTAAGTTGATGCTGTTTCTTGAATCAATTTAGGAGCTATTTAAGTACATTTAACAAGTCCTTCTTCTACTGAGAACTCTAAATCAAGTGAATTTGGGGAAAGACATTCCTTTCTGTTCCCCGCTTAGCTGTGATGCGTGTGTCCCTTTCTGAACCCTGCATGGAAAGGTTAGGTAGAGAAGGACTTCAAAGCTCATCCAAAAAATAAAAGCAAAATAATGGTACTGGTTTTGCTCTGCTTACTAAGACAACAATGTTTTTCATATGCTCAAACTCTTCTGGGTGAAGGAAAGCGGTGAATTCTTCACGAGTTGCAGCTAAGTCTCCATCTAGATCTGCAGTTTTGAATCGTCTTTCATCTCTGGGCAGCATTTTCTTAAAGCTGTGCTGATCGGTTGCATCTTGAAACTCTTCTGGATTTTCTGCAAATTCATCAAGACAACCTCAAAAGTATGTTCCTTTTAAAACATATTACCACAGTGAAGCACCCCAATTTGTTGTTGAAGTCTAGAAACACAAAGGTTTATTGTCAGAATAGCTGCTAGGTTAAAATGGAACTTCTCTTTCCTGTGAAGTTTTAAATTCAGGGGTTGAGTACTTGGTTTGATTTTTCAAAGGTGATTTAGTAGCATCCAGAGTAATGGATCTGGCAGTATTGTATATTGCCCTTCATAGATTTGGGGTTTTTTTTCTTTTTAATCTGCTTTTACAAATACTGCTCAGGCAGTATTTGGGGTAGATTTCATTCAGAGAAGCTTTATTGTTCTTAGGAATTGGTATGATCTAAACAATTTTTCAGTTTCAAAAAGCAAGCAAACCAAAGAAAAATGGTTTCAGAAGCTGGAAGACTGACTGAAATTATCTAACTGCTACGCCTCTGCTAGTAGGGAACCTAACAGTCTTTTCAGTTTAAAACAATGGAAGGTTTTCAGGGTGTTCAGTGTCATAAAACAAGAGGTATTTGATATAATTTTTAAAATAGGATCACTAAACTGACTTCAAACATGAAAAGTACTCATAACAATTTCACAATTCACGTTGGAAGACAAATACAGTTGAAAAAGACTAGGCTAGGAATTACAACTGGAATTTTAAGTGTGCATTAACACAAGACCACAATGTAGTAGCTATTCTCCAAATCTTGGGGATTATAGAGAGCAAAGACAAAGGGCTGAGAAGGGCTCCCAGGCATACTGCTGCAGAGATTGTGCATCAAATATTTCCTTCCACAAATGTAATAAGCTCCTCTTTAAGCTAGTCTTTGGAATTACTACTGCTACTGGAAGCTTATTCCAGAAACTGCCTCTCTTGAAAGTAGATATTTTCTTCTGTTTCCAGTAAGTGTAAGTGGTCAATTAATACTGATTTGTTGTTCTGTCAGCATTGCCCTTTAGCTTAAGCAATCTCTCCTCCTCCTTCATTACCTTCCAAAAAGCAAAGGGAATGTACGTGGGGCGAACAAAAGATTCAGGTATATTTTTAATGTTTTTCTTTTGCCTCATTTGTTAAGGATTTTCATTTGCAGTCTGAAGCATGTTATTCTGCAAGAACTATTTTAATCAATAACTATGCTATAGCTTAGACCCAGACTAAATTTTTAGCATCTAGACTCTTTAAGAAAGAGAGACTGAATTAACAAATACTGGTTAATTACACAATATATTATTTTAAATTACCATCTTTAATATTAAAAGTAATATATTTCTAATTGAAGGAGACTTTAATTCAGATTGTGAGAACATTTAATAATCCCTCTACAAAACCTTCCATGTGCTGGTGACTCATGTGGAAATAGCTGCAACAAACAGCTAGGAAGTGCTTTTGACTTCTGAGCATCTGTAACATTTAATGCAATTTTCAAGAGTCCTAAATGTTGTGACACCAAACTCCTGTTGACTGTAAGGCATGAAATCATCCTTTATGATCTCAACAGTCTTAGAGCATATAATCTGAAAATGTTATTTTACCTAGATAATAACCATATGTGGCTTGCTTGTATTCTTCCCAGGCAATTTTATCGTCCTTGTTGAGATCGTAGTCTTTCCAAACTTTAGCCACATTTTCATAGATATAGCGTTTCTGTACCCGTTTAATCCAGTTCTTTAACTCCTCTGTTGTCAGGTAGCCATCTTTGTTGTCATCTATTCTATCCACAATCTTCCTGTAAAACAAAAAAAAGACCAGAATCCTTAATCGTTGATAGAACAGCAAACTGCAGGTCAGCCCAATTTTGGTAATCTTTAGCTGGCCCTGATTTTCCACAAAAACAGAAGTGCCCCAAACTTATAAAGCTGTCCTATTGGCTAAGGCTTTCTTGCATTTTACAGATTATCTTAAGGGATATGTCTCTATTCTTTATTCAATATTGCTACGAATAATTGAAATGGAATTTGCATGATCAAAGTTAGTGAACAAAGTACCTCACGTAACACCTGGATTTAGGTTGTATTTACTAACTTAAGGGGACCTGTTCTTAACTCTCAGTAGGGACTGGCCATGCTAAAAACTGGCTTCTGTTCCAGCTACAGTGGGAGACCAGATGATAAAAAACTTTGTCTAAAATAAGAGCACAGCTTTAATCCCACAACCTGTAGATAAACTTGTCATAGTATCACTATATTCTGGGCCCTGACCTGTGGGAAGCCATGTATCCCGCTCTTGGATCTGGGGCAGATTGCTGGAATTCAGCAGAAGCAGGAGATGACTTCTCTGAATCCTGACGAGATTCACAGGTGAGCTCCCTAAACCTCCAGACAGCCAAAGGACACAGGGAGAAGTTCTGCACTTTTAAGTATTTATTCCAGTTCAATGCTGTGGTTCTCCACAAAGAAACCAACTCTGGCCAACTGGAACTGCTCACCTAGTGAAGAGATGTTTTTCCAAAGCCTTAGTTATGACAGTAGCAAGTAGAATCAATTAACAGCAGCAGCTGCTGCTGCAATCTCGTGTGAGTCTGATAGAATCAGACTGAATTCGTAAGTATACTATTTCTGAGCTAAAAGGGGAAAAAGGAGCTGCTGAATTTGCTTTATGAAGTAGTAAAGTATGAATCAACTGACTGGGAAACCTCTTCTATTTTGTGTAAGTCTCACGGGGAATTGACTGCCAAGGGTCCCTTTCACTGCACAATGGACTGTATTTGTCAATATATTTGCCCCACAATGAATTTGATTTAATTGGTTTTGCTGATATTTCTATCATTAAATGTATTAGTTATAATAAATGATTCTGTTAGTAGCTCTTTGGTATTTTCAAGGTTAAAGAAATCGGGACTGTTTACCAAAAAATGTTTAATTCATCTTCCTTTTCACCTGTTTTTATAGGTCCATTCCATCTGTGTGAACTATTTCACTCTACTTCCCAGTTGAAGATGGGAACCAAAAGTTAGTCTTGCCTACAAGTGTATCCAGAGTATGGATAAGATGATATTAGGGCTGAGGAGCTTGCTTTTTATACCAATAGTTACCTGTAAAAGAGCTCAGGCTTATTCTAAGTTTTGTAGTGCAGCTAATGTGCATTGATCAGACTGAAAAGCCTTAGTGCTTTTATTTTAAATAGTTAATTCTTCAATACAGCAAAAATTCAAGGAGCATGTTAAGAGACACAAAATTCCCGCTCATACACAGGAACTCACATGCATAAGTGTGTAATACCTGCAAGCTTACTTTCTCCCTTTAAATGAGGTGGGGTTACAGTCAGTATTAGTATCCCATCTCATAATAAAGAAGCTGGAGGTTAGGTACACGCGACTGCTGCTACAGATATTTCAGCTGCCAGTCTGCAAAGACATCTGGTGATGAAACACATTTAGGGCAAGGAAATCATTGCTCCGAAGTGGCTAAAAAAGGAAGGCTTCTCCTCTGCACCTGATGTGAGTACAGCTGTCTGTTGATTATAAACTCTGGCCTCAGCCTGTACACAAACCAGAAACATTTATATTTAGATATATATTTATATTGTGAGGATCTGTAACAATCTTCTGTGTTCTCTGCAAATGACAGGCACACCAGAAATGGCAGGGAGAAGGTTCAGAGGACTGCAGCCCCACTCCCTTCCTCCTTATTCCATCTCCAGCCTCTTAATGCAGCCCTTGGATGCTGCACCAGAATTGTCATGCTTCTCGAAAGCCAGGCGAGTTGTGATGCTGCACATTAGGTGGGCAATCTGCAATTCCTCCCTTGTCAAATGACCCAGCGTGGGAGGACAGGGAGAAGGGATGTCCTGCCATGGAATATGAGCGCAGGAGCACTCTCAGGTCAGTACAAGTGTAGACCAATTATAAAAAGGCATGTCCATTTTAGCAATATGCTCTATAAGAATCTAAGTCCTAGATCATGTATGTTCATTTCCGACAACCACTTCATCTGTTTACTCACTGAGATACATGTAAATAGTAGTGACAGCTTCCAGAGCATCAAGTAGGATGATAGTGATACTACACTAGGAGCTTATGATGGAACTAGACAGACATAAAGTAAGTACCACTCTCTGTGGAAGGGAAGTGAAAGCAAAGGTAATTTTAGTGAGAGCATGCAGATGTTTTAAACAATTTTCTTGTCGGTAACTATATAAAAGGATTTTTCTTTAACTACTATTAAACATGGTTCTAATTAGTGATCCGATTTCCTTTAGATGCACAGAAGGGAGAAGCAGTAAAATAAGGCAACTGTTGCACGGACCCTACTCTTGAAGTGCAGAATGGAAGCACAAGCAACACTGTAAATCATGGAAAAAATTGTGGGAAGATGGCTTCAAGTGGACTTGTAAATGGAGCTATAAAGGAGGAATGGTTTAAACTTGATTCACACTAATGTGGTCCAGGCAAGTAACTCAGAGGTAAGGAGCTGTAGCAGCAAAGCCCTCTAGCAGTGGGTGAGGTCTGTCCAACACTGGGCACAGCACCACGTACAGCATCTCCCTCCACGAAGCTTATTGCTGTAGGGCCAGAAAAGGCAGGAGAGAAAAATACGTAAGTGATGAATTGTTGGTTGCTTGTTTGTAAAAGCAGCACGTGTGAAAGAAGTCTAACTGAAGAGATACCACTGGCTGCACAGTAGTGAGACCTCGACAGGCTAGAGAGCTGTGTGGAAAGGAACTTAAGTTGAACAAAGGCAAGTGTAGGGTCCTGCACCTAGGGAGGAGTAACCCCATGCAGCAGTACAGGTTGGGGGTTGGCCAACTGGAAAGCTCCTCTGTGGAGAAGGATGTAGGAGTCCTGGTGGACAATTTAACCATGACCCAGCCATGCACCATTGTGGCCAAAGAAGGGTAATGGTGTCCTGGGGTTCATTAAGAACAATGTGGCCAGTAGGTTGAGGGAGGTTATCCTCCCACTCTGCTCTGGTGAGGCTGCATCTCAAGTACTGAGTCTCGTTCTGCACTCACCAGTTCAACAAAGACAAGGAACTGCTGGAGAGGGACCAGTGGAGGGCTGCGAAGATTAGGGAACTGGCGCATCTCAGTGAGGAACGGCTGAGAGCTGGGCCTGTTTAGCGTGGAGATGACTGACAGAGGATCTCATCAATGCATGCAAGTATCTTAAGGGCAGGTGTCAAGAGGATGGGGCCAGACTCTTTTTGGTGGTGCCCAGCAACAGGATACGGGACACAGGGCAGAAACTTATAAACTTCTATGTAAATATGAGTAAAAACTTCTCCACTTTGAGGGTGACACTGGAGCGGGTTGCCCAGAGGGGCTGTGGAATCTCCTTCCCCGGAGATACGCACAACCCACCTGGACGCATTCCTGTGTAACCTG